ACAATACCTGCCAGTTCTGGGTATGAAGGAGCATGTGACCTCCCCCCTTGAGACACAGGTCTGGCAGCTGGTTGTCCAACCCCCCCCTTGTGTCACCAACACTGTTCATTCTAATGGAGAGGAGAAAGGATGGGCAGGGAATTGTTGGCAAGGTTAGTAAGGTTGGGCGGGTGAGGAGGTGCCTTTCCAGATACACTGTCCCTTTGGCTTGCGTGGACAAGGTGGCAGTGTCTCTTTAAAGAAGATCTCTGGACAAAACTTACATAACCGTTGCAGTAGGGCTTCCCCCTGCACTGCAAGGGTTATGTGCTCATTTTGGTCTAGGCTCAAAAATAAAGTTATACTCACCTGAACCTTGCAGCCAGCTGGCTGCTACAGCACTCCCTCCCCAGCCCATCCCCTCCTCTGCTGCAGCAATGGTATATCCCTCGGCATCCTCACATCCTATACACTTTGCATTGGACGTGATGACTCAGAGGACCCTAGACCACTGCAGTGGAGGGGGAGAGAGGCTGGAAGGACCGATCTAAGAGCCATACGGGTGAGTATAACTCGAGTATGTACAACTTTTTTTATTTTAGCACCTAGACAAAAAATGAGCACTTCACCCTTGCAGTGGGGGGGTAGCCCCACTGCAGGGGTTAAGAAAAGTTTTTCCCTGAGTTTTTTAAGGAAAATCTCTCTGGCAGGGTTGACACATTTTTAGTGCATTAATGGGCTCCCTAACACACAAACAAAAAACGTGCTAGTACTTTTTGTTAAAAGGCAGCACACCACAACCAAGGTACTACGTTATTGTGTTTGGGGTGCACTAAAATGCACATGTGTTGGCAATATGCTTTGGCGTGCCATTAAGAATGATTGACACCTGATCACCCCAGCGCATAACATGTGCATTTGCATGCATCATGGTAATGCACACAAAGGTGCAATGTGCTGTCAATATAAAGAGATGTGAGTAGATTAAAGCTGGCCATACACCTATAGAGTTTCTGGAGATTTTCTATAACCCGATGGAAAAAATGCAACAGGTGTGTGTTTGTGTGTGTGTGTGTGTATATATGCTTTCATTAAAAAAACCAAGAGATTTACCAACATTATCAGGTTCTACTTGCAAGAGACCCTGTCAAATTTTTTGCTTTCTATAAAAAGTTTACAACTAAAACATCTATATAAAGCTAAATTTGACTGGATGATGGAGATTACTATATATACTATACTGCCAAAAGTATGTGAACACCCTTCCAAATTGTTGAGTTAAGGTGTTAAGCACGTAGCTATACTCTCCTGTACAGATCTCATCATTGTCACAGGTCGGCTAGAACTATGAGGTGAGTGAAAAGCATAGTTCTCCTTTAAACGTTTTTGGGATAGATTGGAATGCCAGTTGCAATATAATTATTTCATTTCAACATCCGTACCTGACCTCAAGAATATTGTTTTGGTGGAATAGGCACAAATTCCCAGACAGACTGCAAAATTTTATGGAAGCCGTCCCAATGGAAGTTAGTTATAGCCGGAAAGTGGTGGAGTACAACATTTTGTATAAAAAAGTACCTAAACACCTGCCAAAAAATCAGCATTTAAAGAAACAAACCAAAAAAAGAAAGATACGGAAGTGCCATCCAAGAAGATGCTCTGTTTTTATGTTAGGTCTGCTATACAATGCCCATGGTTTTGGAATGGAATTTTCAACAAACTCATTTAGGTGTGATGGTCACATGTTCACAAACGTTCGGCAATGTATTGTATATACACAACAACTATACCGTTTTTTGCTGTTTTAGGGCAGAAATTTGCGGGTCCAGTGCAGTTTCAGTTTGGTGATGAGATGTCCCTGTAGGATATCTAACAATGCAATGTATATAAAATGCACCTGCTGCAACACATGTTTAATACAGGTTAACAAACACATGTTAATGCATGGGATATGTGTATCACCATTTATTTTGAATGGCAATACAATGCACAGATGTTTATGCCCTGTTTGTTGCTATGTGATTGGGCCCCAAGGGTTTGGGAGCAACATGCTAAATACTCTGCAGCAGCAATTTGGAAGTGTGAACTGCCTTTATTTGGGTGAGCGTTTTGATGTGCCTAAAAATTGGTAAAAGTCTTGTGAAATAGCATTGGTGTGAATAGACTTTACTGTGTAAGGCAATATACAGTATATAAATGAGGGTATACACGATACAACTTTTGTCCGGTTCCTGATGACCCAGCCAAAATTCGCACAGTGGGTGCCACTGTTGACATCCTTCCATCCTGCATCTCTTGATGAGCTGATCAAAGCAACAGGTTGAAAATCTTCAGCCGAATAGCTCTGTTCAGATATTCTGGCAGCGGCCGGCTGTTCAGCGTGAATTAAGTAATCTGTTCTATTTTTTTTAAGCCCTCAGGTTGAGCCAGAAAAATAGAACCATGTATACCTTGCTTAATTGTGTCTTTGTTCTCTATCGGGATGCATCCATTGTTATATTTGATCAACACTGGTATGGAGATGTTTCAGTTGGGAAACATTGTCATCAATTGAAATGACAACACTGTTTTCAGTTCCTCTGGAACGTGACTTTTAAATTGTGTGAAATTTTAATCTTGGGCCAGTGTTGTATTTAGCTATAAACCTGATAAATCAAAGTGCCAACACTAAGAACTCTTTATTATCCAACTATTACCAATCAAAAGAATTACTAATTTTAAGCAGTTCCCTTGGGTGAAAACGTTATTAATCCTTGCAGTGGGGCTACCGCTGCACTGCAAGGTTAACTGCTCATTTGTGTCTAGGTGCTAAAAAAAAGTTATACTCACCTGATCATTCCAGCCGGCTTGTTCTTAGACTGGTCCCTAGAGCCTCTCTCCCCCTCCTCTGCAGTGGTCTAAGAATCCTTATATCACCATGCTCCATACAAGTGTATAGAATTGAGGACGCTGAGGAATATTTTATCTGTGCAGCGGAGGAGGCATGTTTCAGTGACCAGAGAACCAGGGAGTTGGCTCGGCAGTTCAGGTGAGTATAACTTTTTTTAGCACCTAGACAAAAATGAGCAGTTAACCCTTGCACTGCAGGAGTAGCCCCACTTCAAAGGTTAATAACATTTTTTCCCTGGAGTTCTTCTTTAAACTGTCATTTTAATATGCACGTTCCAATCTGATTGGTGGCTGTGGGGAAGAAAACTGACATTATGTGATACCCATTCACACTCAAGCACATGTGCTTGCTGATGAAGCCCAGGTAGCCCAAACAGCACAGCTCATGAGTTGGTAGGTTAGTGCAATTCTTTGAAAACTCACCTGGAAAGGCACATACTTTCAGGTCTGCTATGTAAACCACATTTGTCTAAAAGTCATTTCTACTTTTGAATTAGTTTGATGCACACATTTCCAAGGAAGCATTGCTTGAGTTCTTCAAGTGTACACTGTTTTTGCAGTGATGAGCATATTAATATAAATGCTCCAAGAGGAACTTCATCAATATCTTCCAAATAACATCAAAGGCACCTTTAGAAATGTTTAGTAATAGCAATCTACAAACAGATACTTCTGGATAATTGATGGCTTTTTATTTTTTTGGATACCTTTTTTTTCTTCCCCTCCCCATTTTTCTCACAGTAGCCATTTTAAAAGAGAACTATGGGGTAACCTTTTTATCCCATAGTTCTCTTTAGGGTCATGGGAGAACATATACTAATGTCCTCCCGTGACCCAAAACTCAGTATATAGCTCGTATACGGCTCTAACTTTGAGGATGAGTGAAAATCACTCACCTCATAGTTCTCCTTTAACTAAGGGCAGATTAAGCCATCTCCCTTTACTTCCTGGAACTCTGGCAAATGTGAATAGGACATTTGACCATGCACATCATCTCAGGGGAGGAAAATTCCTTTACCGGAGATCTCATGAGATTACAGATGAGATTTCCCAGCAATGCTCTACTGATATAACCTTCCCAGGATGCAACACTTGGGCACGTTTACATCATGTGTGCTAAAGTGGACCTCGAAGTAGAAAAAACTAAATTGTAAGTAAAATAAAAATATGTTTGTTTAGCTAATGAATGCAAGATTATTTAATATCAGTATCCAGAGCTGTATGCTAATGTGATTTTTAGTCAAAGGGGAGGGAGTGTTGAAAAAAGCAGTTGTCCTCTGCTTTTGATAAGTTTAGTCACTTTGTTCTGATTATCTTTTCCTGTTCTGGCTACATAATCAGTTCAAGTGCTAGACATACAGTGTTTGTCAAACTCGCTGGGGTATATTACCTTACTAAATGCCACATGGGATGCAAGAAATGAATTGTGTACTGGGAAAACAACACTGCTGGACAGTGAAAACTGTTATAGGGTAAACAAATCTTTGTAACTGTTCACATGTGATACATGACATTTATCCATTTTGACATGATATTGTATATAATATATTGCCTCTTTCTATCAATAACATTAGGCTAGGTTCACACCTAAGTGATATATCCATGCGATATCGCACAAAATAGAGATTTCCATTCAAGTCTATGGAAACAGTTCACACCCTTGCGATTTGTTGCACGTTAGAAATCGTCTATCGCGCAAAAAGCTGCAGCAGCTATTTTCAGTCGGTTGTTGCGCGGTTTGGATTCCATAGACATCTCTATGTATTGAAAACCGCGTGACAACCACGTGTTTTTCAACGCAAAATCGCCCAAACAAAAACACGTGAATATGGCTCACCAGGCAATCGCCTAGGTGTGAACCTAGCCTAGCATAGCATTCCGAAATTTGTTTTGGTTGTTAACAAAGGCTGCTGCGTCATTTCCTCAACGCTATGTTGGAGATGGTAACAGCAATGCAAGAATACTTTTATTATACTAAATGCACTCTTTTCTTAAAGATAGTTAATGTGTTAGATAAAAATTCATGGTGCTGACATAGTCCAAAGAAAGAGACACTAAAGATAGGCAGAACACATATGTAAGTGTAAAGTGCAAGTATTTTATTTTAAATAAGTCATACCTATATTTTTCAGCAAATTTATTAGTGGAAGAACGAGCAAGACAAATCAAACTAAAAGTTCAGCGGTATAAGCAAACAGCTGGGTCTAGTTCCAGTCAAGATTTGGAGCGAGAGCAATATTCTAAGGTAAGTCCAATGCTTATTATTTTTAACGGTTTTTACAGTCATTCCCTTTATAATATTTTATATAAAGAAACTGAAGAGCGTACAAGATGTGATCAGTTGCCAGGTTTTACAAATATTTCATTCTTTGATAAAGGAGCTGGTGTATAAAAACTGTAGGGAAGACAACAAATGTGCTGCCTATTAGCAAGGCAGCAGAAAAATTAAAGATGTCTATTGATTGGTTGCTTTTGTCCACCTTCTATAAATAGATACATATATTAAAAACAGTGCTGTCAGGATGTGCATAGTATAGTAGCTCATAACAACCAATCTGAAGTCATTTTGTAACTGATCTGGCTACAGCAAACTGAGCTGATTGGTTGCTTTAGGTTACTGCACTTAACACACTTGCATTACTCTTTGCAGTGCTGTTATGAGCAAGTCCATTTGTCTTGCAAGTCCAAGTTTAAAGCTCTAGTTGTATCGGTTTATGATGACTGTTAGATTTCCATAATTCTACAATTGTGATTACTAGAATCTAATCCCATTAATATGCCATGTGCATTACATTACTCTTTGACTATCATAGAACTTAATTAACTTGTTTTTCCCTCAATAAAGCATTAATTGACACTTGTATCACTGAACCTTCCTATCTTTTGACCACAGTTTGACTACCAGCTTCCACACTTCCACATGTAAGATGTGGTGGGAAAGCTTATTGTATGAGCTTAGATCAGGCTTTTTGCTGAACTAAGCACATATGCCACCTGCTCTTGGAGTTAACCTTTTATTTGGGGCTTGCACAAATTTAGTTTCTATAAAAAGTTATAAGCCATCTCCCCTTTTTGGTATAGTTTATATTTAACATTATTTTAAGTTCCTGTTGACCACTGGAAAGAAATGGACAATTTGCTCACTTTTGAGCAGTTCACCTAAAATCTACGACAGCAGGCAAACTGTCACCCTACTGTGCCAGCAGATCAGTCCTAGGTGTATGGAACCGTGGGGCTGAACTGTAAAAATACAGTAAAAATACAAGTCTACCAACAAAACTATACAAACTGTGCAGGGGCACAAACAATGAGGACCCAGGAATAACAGGCAGGGCTGCAGCTTGAAATCCTTACAGTATATACAGTAATGTTTTAGCCCTGATACCCTAGATGACAGCATATGCTGGCTAAGCAGAAATAAGTTGCTGTTCACAAATAAATTGATGTTTGCCCTGTGTATAATCTAAGGTATAAGGCAAACTCTTTTTCAGATATCTCAGCCTCCAACTTTGGCATTTCTTTTGTGGCTATGATATTTGATTTTGTTAGTTTGATACTTAGACTATCCAGTCCACTGAGAAAGGTGCAGAGTTTCACAAGACAGTTGACCTAAGGCGACAGGAAGTATATATCCAACAGGCCAGGGAAACAAATCTACAAGTCAATAGAAGACATATAGGTCACTTTTTTTCATTCTCAGAGGACAGTATATTGCTGATGCCCAGTGAATATTAGATTGGCTGGGTCTATTCCTAATTTGCAGAGATATCGTCAGGTCAGATTTATGACCATTGTAAAAGATGATTTATGGTCTCTTGTACCAGGCAAGCATATTACTTTATATCATGGAAATGGACAACCCTAGCATGCCATTAATACATTGAAGTTATATTTTGAAAAAAAAATGGAATGCTATGCTGTGGAAAATAAATTGCCAGTCCCCTATGCACTGAGGCCTTTGCACATTAAGCTTTTCACCTCATCTGTTTTCATTGCAGTGCTTTCTCTGCTCTATTTTGGAGCAGTTGCAGTAAGCTCCAGTGCTGAGGCTAACCCTAAACATGTGTTTCCTAAGCTACACACAGATACTTTCAGAATAGGGTTCCCTACATCTCTATAAAGCAATTCTACTAAATTAGGACATTAGGGCAAACCCCACACAGATACAGAAGATCATTATTTTATCCAGTTAAGTATTTACTGAAAATCAATTATTGTATTTTAAAATAAATTTATTATAAATTCATTACTCTGTCTTTATATAACCTTTCTGTAATCCAATGCACAGCAGGGCTGAGACAGGAATTAGCTAACTGCTGGGAGCTTGTCGAAATCCTGCATGATATTTTATTACCTCCGCATAATTGTTGTACTTATTTTGAAAGGTGCTGGGGTTTTTGTAATGATAGTTCCTGTTATCTGCAGTAGACTCCACTCATGAGAACCTTTTAAGGCTCCCTCTAATATTTAATATGTTCAAAAATTAAGTTATTACACATCAAGGGCATAGTACCATCTCTGCTCAGAGACCTACAATCAGGAGTTCCAGTGGTTGACACACCTAGGTATTCCTAGCTCCAAGCACACACTTGCACATAGGAAGAGAACAGACTATAGTAGGTGAACAAATAAAAATAACTGCTCACTGTATACTTGCCATAACAAGCGGCCAATTCCACACCACGCTGGTCATCACACAAGCATGGTGTATACACAACCCCACTGTGTATCATCCTGAAATGTCCTCTGGAGGTAAAGTTGCTTCAAAAACCTTCTTCCTATACCTTGCTGAATATGAACAAATCACAAATAAAAAAACATACTAAAAAATGGGATAATATTTTTAAAGTATATTAAAAGTATATTAAACTGTACAGTAAAAATTCCCTGTGGCTTCTAATCTCCACTTAATTGTATGTGTTTGCAAACTAATGGAAGTATGTCCCAAGATATGGCCCAAGTATCTAAAATTTGCTAAAAAAGTTTTTTTATCCATAAAAAGGTTTTCCATCATATTTCTAGAAATGTCCTACTTTCAAGAGTTTACACTCTACTGTAGATTATACATTGGACAACATTTCTGCACAACATATTTACTGCCTATTCAGCATAACCACTTAATGAACAATGGATCCAGCACAGCAGATGTGTGTGATCTTTTCAAGGGCTTTACAAACATGCTGTTTAAAATATGTTTGATCTTAATAAAGAAACAGTGCAAAGAGCATAAGATACATTCAAACGACAAGAAACCATTGCAACCAGTCAGAGTTTATAGCAGCAATATTTGAGGGATAGGAGGAAGTTATATTTTTATGACTTTACTCACTAAGTGATGTTTTCATGAACGGTGTGTTACTGAACCATGGATGAAAGAGCTGAGGCATTTTTAACCTGAGGGAACAGTGGTACATGCAGGGGTACAACTGAGTCAGGGATGGGTTAATAATTTATATTCCTATATATGTTGTGGTCAGTTGGGTGCTGTAATTCAAGAAGAAAACTCATAAACTTTATAACTCCCTCATCAGCATACTGTCTGTAAAGGTATGACCTGGTATGAATTATTACCCTTGTCTACCTCCTGCTTTTAACTTGAATGCCAGTTATGGCCTGACAGAAAAAGGCTGCCTTCCCAGGTTTGTAATTTAACATGACAAATCTGTGCTTAACCATAATCCTTGCCCTTGGGATTTGTGATCTAATATACAGGGCCAGAGTGACCCCTATGGAGTAAATCTCTTTTACTCAGAACATTGTTTTTGTTTTACTTGTCTTAACCTGGAGTTAAATATTGTGACAGTGTGTAAATAGGCTTATTTAAGATAAATAATGATGGGAAAAAATTGTTGATAACTATAAAGGGAAAAGCCACTTATTTGACTCTGTTGCCTTTAGGCACAGGCCTACTTTGCCTAATGGTAAAGTTGACCCTACTATATCTTGACACATCACTGTTTGTAGGAGCTTACATCTTAAGGAGACAGTATCTTTCCTTTAGGGCTTATATTTATGATAACAAAGTCAGAAAGTGCAGTGTAGGGAAATTAGTGAACAACTATGTTGTACGTATTGTATGTAGCAAATATACTTGAGAGTGTGCCCAAGGGCTGTAAACCACGCAGCAAGTGCAGTGTACTCTAAACAAATTAATTTTTACATAAACCTCAGGATGATCTTGGCAGACAAGGATATTATTTCTGCAGAATAGTGAGGTGAAAGTTGACTTCTGCTTACATACTAAAACATCAGCCATACAAGAATCGGTAATACTATTTATCAGCTGTCCCGAGTTTATCAGGACTCATTCTTGGGCCTGTTGTCCTACTGTTCTACTTCCTTTGCAATTTATCCAGCAATTATTTCACTTTTCAGGTTTTGGAATATGTACAGGAGAAAAGTTGGGGATTTTAGCTAATCAATGCCCCTGATTCTCATGCAAAAAAAACTTTGCCCAAGTTTATTTGGCAGGAGAACCGATATCTTATTCTAAATTCTGCTTATATCATTTTGCAAGATTAACCTTTCACATGTTCCTATTTGCTTTTATAAAGACAGGGGCCGTACCCAATAAGCAAAGGTGCTTACAGTTTATTACTGCTTTGTTGTCTTATTTAACAAAATAATAATGGTATTTGGCTAGCACTGCCATAAAGAGAAGGTAGAGGCAAAACTGAAAGGCCACATTTACCACCCAGTAACAAATTGAAATTCACAGGTCATCTATCAAGCACAGCCTTTGTCTTCTGCAATAGCAAGCAAAATGTTTAATTTAGTATGGCAGTGATGAATTTTGGCTGGCAGTGGCCTGTAAATATTACATCAGCAGCAAGTCAGGAGCCTGTCATTTGTCTTTAGGATCCTTAAGTCTCTTTGTTAATCTCCACAGACTTAGAGATATTAGTAGAATATATAATTGTTACCATTTTGTAAAATGATATGACTGTTGTTTTTGATTTGTTGGCTGTTCTTCATATAAGAAATTTTCATTTGTATGACTTTTTAATGCAAAATGTACTTAGAGCATGATATGGAGGTGTCGTGTGAGTAAAAATGTTAAGAGAACTAGAGAATGTTTAGAGAACTGAACTGTATCCTCTTTTCCTGGCTTGGAGAGTTGGGAGGTACTGTTTGGTGCTTGCATTTGCATTTTTAAAAATGAGCTGCTGTTTTTGTTTGAAGAGGTTCATGTCAACACACACATCAAATAAAAATTTGATTATGTACATACAGTAAGTTTACTTCTTACTAGGAATTTTAAGAAAAGGGTCGGTTCATGTGTGAATGAAAGATTTTATTTAGTAAAGCAAAAACAAATAACAGGGTTGAGCACATTGCACTAGAGCCTCTTTCAGGCCTTCTTTAGGGCTGGAGGTGTACCAGTCGTATGTTGTAAGCACTAAAGCCTCCCGGGCCCCTAGTAGCTGTATCATATTTTTGAAAGACTAAAACAAAATCTTTGTAAAAAGATTTTGTTACCCAGGGAATGCAGGAAAAGGCAAGGAAGGCAATTAGTAGAACGTATTTAAAATGATGTACCGAAAACCTCAAGACTAGGTATTGGGTATATTATTTAAAATGGAGCATTTTATAAAAAGATAGAGAAAAGAAAATGGGGAAGTTTGTTACGCATAGTGAAAAATTTGATTTCTTGCCTTCTCTTCCTAGATAATAAGAGTTGAAACACTACTGATCACTATAAGCAATGCATCCAGTACTGTTCCTGTTTTTCTTTTATGTAGTGTTTTTCTTTTTAAACAGACCTGTGGGTTTCTGTTTTAAGGGAAAACAAGTTTACATTTTGTATCATTTGCTTTATCAATTCAAGTGCTTTCAGTGCCCTCATTCAACATGTCCTCTAACATTTGGCCCCAAATATATGGGTGCCTGGCACTTTATGACTAAGTACCAGTGTGCATAAAATGCATCAGAGGATTCAACTCATCTCTTGTGTTATGCTTTTATGAAAGAATAAAGAATCAGTTTGGATATAGCTGGTGTGTGGTTTCTTGTATAGTGGCTGTCAGTAAACAAGCTGGAAGAGCACCTGGCTAGTATAGATTAACCTGCAGTGACACACTGCTTTTCTTAACATAATGTGATAGTTTGCATTTGATAAGATTTGCTTGTCAGATTGTTAAGCCTTTGTGAAAGCAGCCAGTGCCTGCATTTAACATGTTTGATAATAGATTTAATTTAGTCTTAAAGGAGAACTATGGGGTCAGTGTTTTTCTCCATAGTTCTCCTTAGGGTAACGGGAGGACACAAACTAGCGTCCTCCCGTCACCCTAAGCTCAGTATGCCCCAAATACCATGCACCTGCACAAATGAGAAATAACCTGATCCAGGAGGCTCCATGATAAATGTTAAAATGTTATAGCTTATTTTTAAGGAAATTGGTTAACAATTGTGGATCCAGCAGCACTGCTTAGATTTCCACCATGTGTCTGCTGTCAGCTTGTAAAGTATGGGTGTGAATATACTAAATGTGGTGCAGTGGAAAGTGAAGTGTAAATATTCTGTATTACAAGAACACTCTGTCCTACTTCCAAACTGTTTCCTATTGATAAATTGTCTGTTTCCTATTGATGTGTTCTTTCAGCCACAACCCTCTGAGTGTAATGACAATTGAAGTAAAATTAGTAGGTATGACTTAATAAGGGAAATGTTACAACCACAGCCTGATTTTAATTTGTGTTGAGTTTACAAGGGTGAACTAGTAATCAGAGTTTACTAAAAATAAATAATATAATGCTGTCTGTAAGAATTTAAATAGTCTAGTCAGATATGATGCCTTTTTTTGGGGCCTGTGTCAACTGGCTTTTTTTTGCGTGAAACAAATTTTGTGTTCACATACAAGTCTATGGAATTGCAAAACCTCCTTTAAATTATTAATGCAGGAGGTTGACTACAAGTCAAATGCACATTGTCAATAAATTTTAACAGGGCTATTCACAAAAGGCAGGAGAGGTGAACAATAGCTGATTTTAAAGAATTCTCCAATTCAGCTCACTTTCCAGTTTAGCTATGTTGTTCTAGATTGTTCACTTCTCCTGCCTTCTCCAAACTCTTCATCCTTTTGTGAATAGCACTGTAAATGATCTCAGAAGCATCTCAAACTGATGTCAACTGGATGTCATCAACCCAAGCCCCAAAGCTTGCTGACACAGACCCTAAATCCCGCATTGTTGCAATATAAAGGTTTTTTTCTTCTGGACATTTTGTATTTTGTTAGTTGCCAGTGCAAGACAAAATAAGAACATTGAATATATTGTAAATAAACTGCATAGGTATGTTAGTGCAGGGATAAATCTTCAATCATACAACTATTTAGGTCATATAATATTTCATGATTTTATAGAATTAATATGTTACAGAAAATACATTACTAGGATTAATTGGTAAGACAAAGAGTGTATTCTGCAAAAGGATAGTAATTCATAGCAAACAATTGTTCCAGGAATATATTGAGAAGGGGAAATTGTAGTATCCCTTAGCAGCCAAATCAAATGAATCTATGTTTCTGCAGTTTGCACATGATTATTGCTGTTTGCATTACCTTATTAAATAAGCTTAATCTATGTTGTCAATCTAAGCCATTTCTCTACATTTTATCAACTGCATGATGTGTTAAAAATATATTTTAACGCTATTTTTCTTCACCACTAGTATAACATGCATAAAGATCAATACAGAAGTTGTGACAACGTCTCAGCCAAATCATCAGATAGTGATGTCAGTGATGTGTCAGCCATTTCCCGTACCAGTAGTGCCTCACGCCTCAGCAGCACAAGCTTTATGTCTGAGCAATCTGAGCGTCCAAGCAGAAGGCTCTGGTGAGTGGAAAATGTTTTCTAATGCTAATAGATGCAACAAAAACTGTCTAAATGCTTTTTAGACTTTCTTTCATAACAGTATTTTTATGCAACAATACAAATGAAGGCAAATATTTTCACTTAACCAACAACTTTATCTCAGACGCATTCCAGATGTGCCTCTCACCTTGCCTCCGGCCGTCTTATCCTCCTCTGCCTTTAGAGATGCCACCTTCTTCCACACATGCATCTCATCTCACAGCACATATTACTGATAAGGGGCAGAAGAGCAAAGCGGTTCTTTCTTTCTTTTAATTGTTCTACCGTAGTAGCCAGTTGAACAAAAAAAAAGTACCGAAAATCATGGAAGCTAAAACTGTTGACCCCTGAAAATTCTAGTTGGTTGGCTGTTATGCTGAATCAATAGATTCAGTACTGTCTAAGGCACTGGGAATGATTTACTAAAGGCAAATAGGCTGCTCACTTTGCAAGGTAATTTGCACTTTGCAGTGGAAGTTTCCCTTAGCTTGGTAAATGTGGTGAAATTCCACTAAAAAAAAATACTCAATCATGTGCAAGAAAAAAAAAGACAATATTTTTGTTGCACGTGACTGGATGATGGAAGTCAATCGCGCTTCACCTTATTCACTAAACTAAAGCTGGCCATACATTAGTAGATTTTCGAATGAAAGATCTTTCTTTACCACCCAATAATGCCATCAGACACTTGACTTGAGTTTCCCAAACGAAAACCACATTCACTGTTAGAATTTCGCTTGTTCAAGAAAAATGTTCCACCCTGCTTCTTCGCCTTCACTACAGTTGAAATTGATTCTCGATTTGACCCTATCAAGTAATAGAAAGTCAAAAGATGTTTTTTCATATGAAAGTTCTAAAAAAATCATAGCAGTGTATGGCCAGGGTAAGGGGGAAGCTTCCCCTGCAAAGTGCAAATTCCCTTACAAAGTAAACAACTTATTTGCCTTTATTAACTCAACTCCACTGACATCACAGTGACTCTCTAATCTGCCTTGTTCCAGGTCAGTGATAAAGTAATTGTTAAAGCCAGAGACAGCCTGTCAACTAATATTCTTAGAACACAATCAGCAATGCCAGCCCTAATCTTTTTTTGCAGTACAAGTTTCCTTAATTAGATTCTTACATATACCCACACAAAAGGAGTTTTAAATTAATCTTGCTCACACTATCACACTGCTTAACTTGTGGATAAAAAGCATATATAATACCAAGCATGTGTCCACGACACTTGTATTGCTGTAAATGTACTGTAGCCTCAAATTGTCTTTTTATATCAAAGGCTAGGTAGTTGTAAACTACTTAAATATTACAGCATTACCACTACCTAAACCTTAACATCAGGACTTAGAATGGGCAAAAGCAGCATATAACAGTGATTTTTACACTTCAGTTTTTGAGTTTAAGTAAGCCATTTTAATTATCGCACATTTTTCTGAAGGGCAACAAGTGAAATGGGTGAACTATACAGAAAATATTTCTGTGTTAAAGGCTAAAATCCACCCGCTTTACCTTTAAGTTGGATCTTATAAACTTCCTTGTAGACGGATACACAGCAACACTGAATGGCATTGAAGCCCCTTGATCCTATGATATACATAATTTTGCATGTACAGCAATACGTGTGGTTGGAACTAAAATGGGTTAAGAAACCAGAAAATTCAGGGCCATTAATGTGTATGTAAAGCCAAAATGTTTTAGGAAAGGGCTAAGACCCAGGTTATTAAATCTCCCCAAGAGGAAGTAAATTTCCATTGTTGACAGTTGGCAACAAAAAATTTGCCCCTATTGCAAGATTGTTCCCCTACTTTCTGTCTTAGTGACATTGGTTACCAGGAACAATAAATGGGTAAATTTTCCGCACAGGGACACAATAAAAACTTGGCCCTTCCCATGAGATTTATGAGGTTTAGTGCCTTTCGGTTTTTACTAAGGCCCTAAGATGTAAATACACTTTGCAAATTTTATTCTTTTTGCTTATTTGTATAATATTTAAATAGTATACACATGTTTGGAGCTGTACCTGAGCTACAAACAAAAGGACTAGTGATAGCAGTCCTGCATTGTGCGTGAGGATGGGAAAGTCCCACCCACATCCTGAGAACATCAGAGAGTGGCCTGTCTGAGGGCAAGGAATAAGGTGAGTATTGTTCCTGTGTTTATCCCCCTAGAAGAATCAAGCATGTAGGGGGGGGGACAGGTTGCCCAATGCAAGGGTAATTTTTAAGCTCACCCGGAGTTCAGGTATCATAATACTAATGGCATATCATATCTTACTGTTTCAGAAATTACCTTAATTATAATGGAATATGGATTTCTGTGGCAGGCGTATGTGTTTTAGATATTGCCACTTGGTATTCACACTAATCCAAAATTGATTAAACCTTTATTTGCACACAGCTATCAAATATCAGGTGCATTTATACGTTAAGCTATTGCTAAATAAACAAAACACTGTGCCCACTAGTAATAATGGCTACATTTGAATCAGATGCCTGTCTATATTTTGTGTAAGACCCTGCCACTTGTTTCCTGCACATTTCTTATTTATAAGCTGCTTCTGCTTATAAATGAGGTCAACTCACTAAGCTATAAGAAGTGTCTCTCCTTTTATCCTGTGATATTGTTCTTATAATAAATGTTACATGCATAAATATATATAAATATATTACATTTAACAATAAATCTTTGTGTGTCTAACCCCTGTTTTGCCATATTTGTATGCTGTGCTCCATAGATGTTTCATAAAATCTCACTGTTAGGGCTTTATTGATGGCATATTGTTTATGTCAGAACTGTTACAATAACATGAATGCATTAAATTCTGCTGATCCATGCAATAAATCTTTTAGTGAATGGAAAATATAATTTCCAGTTATAAAAATCTCCAAATTGTGTAAAAATAAAATATTGCATGTGAATTTAGTAAATCGACCCTTTTTTATGGTTTTACCTACCATGGTGCACCAAGAGGATAAAAAACGAATTCAAAAAGCAAAGCAAGGAACGTCGATGATGTTCATAGAGACAGCAACCAGTCAGTACTTATTTCTTTACTGACCTGATTACAGTATACAGAAGCCTGATTAAAAAAACAGCTGATGGCAGAAAAATGCAGTTGCACTACCTTGCTAAATATTTTTTTAGGTATTACGTGAAATTTCTGTAAACATTTCCCAAAGAGAAAAAAAAGAGGAATGTGTGTGTTTATTTACATATATCATTTGTATTGTATAAGATCAATAGCATAGATATTCTTTATGTATCAAATATAGCAGTAAAAGGTGCTAAAAAACCCAAATCTGTTAAATTCATTGCTGGCATCTCAGCACTGTCTCTTTTTAAACCAGGTGATCTTAAAATAATTATCTAGGAACGATTGATGAATTTTGCCAGTTTAGTTTGTTGCATTATTTAGGATTATCGAGCACTTTCAGAGATGATATGCTAAGTATGGCTTTAAAAGGATTAACTTAGTGATATTCATTAGAGTTAAGGGGTTCAGGTTGAGAGTTAAAGTAGTATTAAACTCTCAAACTTTTTACAATATTGAATCCAGATCAAACAAATATACATTGCCCAACAAAGCATTGCTTTACATTTTTCCAAGTCTCTCAGCTCAGCTTCCCTGATCTTCCTTTCCAGTACAAGATCACAAAGGACAGATCTCCACCATACACCTGTTCATCTAGTAGCTTGTAGAAGGAAGGAGGGAGGGGAGGGTTTCTGGAGATGCATACAGCTTACTTGCACACACAAGGGTGACTGCATAACACTCTGCTTGAGAATGGAGTCACTCTAAAACAGGAAGTCAGGACCAGCGCTCAGGGGACCTGCTGATTCTGCAGGTAACTAAGGGGGTTTTTCACTAAAGAAGCTTCAGCTGATCCTTCGACTCTCTTCGGCCACCTCTGCCCTTCGGCTCAGTCCGAAGCACTGCTGTACGGGCTATTAACAATAGCCCGTACAGCAGCCGAGTGACTTAGCCAAGCCAAACCCATATGCTTTGGCTCAACTGAAGTGGCCGAAGTGACAGCCGAAGCGTGGCTAAAGGACGGCCAAAGCTGACCGATCTCCGCGCTAAAGACAGCTGGGTCGAGCCAGCCGTGATCTCACGGCTCGCTCCACCCAGTTGTAATGACAGATCAGCGTCCCAATCACCTGGGGACGCTGATCTGTCATTAAACAATTACAACTGGGTTGAGCGTCCCAATCACCTGGGGACGCTGATCTGTCATTAAACAATTCCAATGTTATTCATTGGCTGGGACGTGCTAGAAAACTCTGTCAAGTCCCGGCCAATAGGAAACAGTTGAGCGGAGCTAGCTGTCACTGCTAGCCTAGCCCAATTGTTTTTCTTTTGCCGGCATCTTTGCCTGCATTTTTTAATTATTTTTAATTTTCTTTTTTTTCTTTTCTCGAAACTATTTTAATAATTTTTTTTAATTTTCCTATTTATTTACATTTTTAAAATTATTAATTAATTAATGTTTTTTTAATTTCACTCTTTTTCTATTCTGCTCTGTACCAGAACATGCTCGGTACTATTCTGCTCGGTACCGGAACATGCAGAGCATGTACGGCTGATTTCAGCCGATGTACGGCTGAAATCAACCGTAGTGAGTCGGAGTGAATAGCCAAATGCCGATCGGCTCACTGCACTTTGGCTGGGTTATTCCCCTGGCTGCCTTTTGCACCTTTGTGAATAACCCCCTTACACTTTTAAACATCAAGGAACAGCATTCATTGTAAGTGATTTCATCAGCATTTCCAATAGCTTAAAATCCTTTTGACTTTAATATCTTTTAATATTTTTGTAAGTTAGGTTTATGGTTAAATGTTAATGGTTTATTTTAGAACTTGCATGACATTGGAGAGACACTAAACTCTGCAGTTAAATCTTAAAAATGCACTCATGTATCCTAACTGTTAACAGAAATGTATCTTATTTGTGTATCACTCAGCTGTAGATCCTCAACTCATCTCTCTCTGAATTGGGGCTAACACTGTCCTTCCTTATGGAGGGTGGCTACTTTTATTCCCCATGGTCCCTGTATGTCCCTGTGTGTGTTGTAAAGTAGCCAAGCTAGTAACCTCTCCAGGCTCACTCCTGTGATGGACTACAATCTCACATTTAGTTTGCCAATATGCATTGAGATTGTAGTGCATCTCTGGAGTGAGCTTGGAGTGGTGGCTACTTTACAACATACACAGGGACCATGGGAAACACAAGTAGCCACCCTCCAGAAGGAAGGACAGTGTCAGCACCAATTCATAGATTAGTTGATGATCTACAGCTGAGTGATGTACAAATAAGATACAGTTTTGTTAATATTTAGGGTACATGAATGAATTTTAAAGATTTAGCTCCTGAGTTTAGTGTCACTTTTAAGTATAAAAAACTTTTTTTTTAGATTGGGATAGAGTGGAGAGGGATTAGACCACCTGTCAGGTTTTTATTGCTGTCTGTGTCCTAGTGACTGTTATCACTGAAAGTGAATGTGAAAGAAAACCCCAAATTTTGAACACGAATTTCAGAACACAAATAAATGGAAAATCTTCCAATGGGGTCACTAATTCTGTTGACCTTGCTGACCACCAGGGATTTTCTTTCACTTCTGAAAATGAAGGGAAATCTCCCCAAAGGGACACATATGGCACAAAAACGTGGTAGGACCCTTAAGTAGGGTATACACGTTTAGATTTTTGCACGAAAGTTTGTTCGAAAAATCCCATCAGAACTTTCTATACCAGCATCAGAAACTTGCCAATTGTTCAAAATTTCGTTTAATCTTCGTTTTTATTTAACTTCCAATTTTGGAATGAATGGAATATAAAAATGAAAACCACATTCATTCGTTCGATCGAGGAAAATTTTCCAACATGCTCCTTCGCATTTTTTCGTCACTCTGTTCAAACTTGATCATTGATTTAATCCCATTAACGATTAGAAAGTTGAGCAAACCTTCTCGAACCTTAACTATAAACAAAAATGTATCTTATTTGTTTATCACTCAGCTAGAGATCCTCAAATCATCTCTGAATTCATGTTGACAATTTCCTTCATTCTGAAGTAGCCACCGCTTCGAGCTCACTCGATGAATTACAATCTGACATTTAGTTTACTAATTTGTTTTGAGATTGTAGTCTATCATGAGAGCCAGCTTGGTGTGGTGGCTACACAACTGAGGGATGCACAAATAAGTTACAGTTTTCTTAATAAGGTACTTGAATGTATTTTTAAGCTTTAACTCCTGAGTTTAGTTTCACTTTAAGGGCCCATTCACACTAGCCCTAAGCGGTTTCCCATGTAGGCTAGTGTCCGCTGTGTATGGGTGGCGGGGTAGCGGTCCTTTGTGCTGTTTCAGTGCATTTATATATATATTTTGTTTTACTTTGTTGAAGTGTCAAACAAAGACACTTCATTAAAATGAATGCACTGCACCTGAGTTGTGTTGCGATGATTAATGGTGACTTCAGATGAGCTATGGAGCATTTTTCTGCAACCCACCTCAAGTCAGCTTTGTAGTGTGAATGAGGCTCATAGAAAACCATTTCCTGTGTAGATATGCTATGGAGAGTTAAGGGTTGATTTAGAAGTAAGCTTAGACTGGGACCTGGGATCATGATCTCAGTACAAAAATATCAGAAAGAAAAAAGTAAACAGCAATTACGTGGTAGTAGGTAGTACCCATCAACGACATTGAGTCCAACAGTCCTTCAAGAGAGTTTGTATCTAGCTTCCTGTTTCAAATTAAGCAGATTCTGCTTGTATTACCTACGATTTCAAAATGTTTTCAGAATATTTTACAACTCATTAATTTACATAGTAGAACAATTTTATTTTTATGTATTATTTTATATAATTGCTCAGCACACATTAACTCCTATTTGTTGAGCATAAAATGTAGATATATAATAAAACAAAGGGAAATTACAGTTTTGTAAATTGCGTGTTAAAAGATGTATTACTTGGATCACATTTAAATGCCATGTCTATTTTCTCTTATTTTTCTTGAAGTTTTAGCATCAGTGCATTTTGTTTTAACATGTAGTCCATTTTCACCTAGGATGCAAGGCAGACGCATGGGATCTTCAGGGAGGACTATAACTAAGAGCACAAGTGTAAGTGGAGAAATCTACACGTTGGAGCACAATGATGGAAGCCAGTCAGATACAGCAGTGGGAACAGTTGGGATGTGTGGGAAGAAACGAAGACCAAGTTTGAGTGCCAAAGTAGCTGCATTAGTATCAAGAAGAAGTAGAAGCACATCACAGCTTAGCCAAACAGGTGAGTGGTATTGTATCTGATTTACCAGTCTGTAGTATATTAGCAGAGACACAGTTGGTAATTGGATATACAGATTTGTTTCCTTTTTGTTACAACAGGAAAAAGATTGGAGTTATGCAAAGATTGCTTGTTGACTCACTAGTAATTAAGTAATCTGTACAGCATGCTGTTTTAACCTAATGCTCTATTAATTTAGGTTTTGTTTAGGCTTTGTATTCTTATTTTCTTAGGCTTCTCTCATATGCCTTTGTTTTAAAAACATGCATTTTTGACATGTACACCTTTTAGCATTTTTATGCATCATGGTATATTTTTAAGCAAATTTGTTTTGTTTGCTTTTTTAAAATGTTTTACATGCTTAATAACACACGTCAAAATGCAATAAAACTAACACAACAAACTTGAAAAAATGTTCTGCAGCACTTAAAAGCTTATTTTTATTTATGTATTTTATTTTAGTGTTGGTCATATTATCAGACTAGCGGAAAAGCATATGCTGCAGCTGGGGGTTCTTTGAATGTTTTCACAAAGCCTTTTTATAGCCTTTCAAAGCCTTTCATTGCCTTTCAAAGCCTGTTCTATAGCACTCAGATATCATCTTTTTACTCTCATCAATAAAAACTAAAACTAATTCAAGATGTGGTTTAAATACAGCAATTCCATACATTGTATGCTGCATTTTTAACAAGTAGTCACAAAAAGCAGTAGGGCTGAAACAACTAGTCAATGAAGTCAATAATAATCAATAATTAACATAGTTGTCAACCATTTTCATTATTGATTAGTTGGCCACTCGATTTGTTGGGCTACTTGCATCCTCGCTCCCTCTCACTCGCATGCTTCTGAACACTAACTGTTCGAGCACTGCCCGCGGCCTCCTCCTCTCCTCAATAAGTACTATCCTTGTCGCACTCCTTACCGATATGTCCCTTGTAGTGGGGGGTGCTCGCAGTGACTGCAGATGGCGCCACGAATGTCAGCAACATTGTAGAAATGTCACCAGCACACCAGTCCTTTTAAGATCGCAAAAGCTTCTTTTCTTGCGTGACTTACTAGCATCCAGTAAGTCACTCTCATCTAACCTGCCCAAGCAACAGGAATGGAGAAGCTGGTAGAAAAGAAAGCAGGTTCTGTATACAATTACTTCGTATATCAGAGCAACAGTTTGATTTCCCCGAGACAGCATTGGACTGTGGGATGTTGCTAACAATTTACCTTACCTTTTACTTCATTTTTACTATTACAGGAGAAGATCTATGGCAAACATTCTTTATATCTTCACCCATATTATTTAGGAAAGTACATGAGGATATTTAACATAAATCAATGTATTATGATTTATTTCACTTTAAGGTGTACATAAGTAATGCAGTTCAGCAGGTTTATTAAGATATGGATCTAATTTGTTCAAAGGTTTGCAGTCATGCTGAAACAGAAAATAACCCTCCCCAAACTATTGCCATAGGTTTGGAAGTGAACAGTTCTTTAAAATGCCATTGTATGCTGGAGTATTAACAGTACTCATCACACCTGAACTCAATAATGTGAAGGGGTGTCCTCATACATTTGTCATATAGGTAGGTGTGATGGTCAGGTGCCAACAAACTTCTGGCTATACAGTATAGTGCAAATATCCCTTTATTAAAGTCAGTGTCACCTGATCTTTATGATGTATTACTTTAGATGCATCAAATAATTAACATAACTACCGAGCCGCATAGGCTTTTCCAAGCCATCCATTAAGTGATCAATAACTTGTGTCATCGATGCTGTATTTTTAGGAGACAGAAGTAACCTCGGAAGTACATGTATCGTTGGAAGAACCAGTTATCTAAATCAAACAAAATAGTCTGAAATCAAAGCTTATTATTATCATCAATTACCTATATTTTTACCTTGCATTTACCTTCAGTCTGACAAAAAAATGTATGCTGCTGGGTCGATTTTTTCCATTATGAACAGTTATAGGAATTCTGAAAAGAACACCATTCCCCATCTTCTAACACACAGACTTAAAATGAGCTTTTGAAGTTTAATTGGTCCTTCATTATGGGGAAAGTGTATTTGCAACATGAGACCAGTAGATCATGCTAAGGCATGTAGTGCAGCATGGGATGAAGAGCTGGTTGTATATGGTTTCTCTTAAGCTGTGAATGTACGCTATGTAAAAGCGCTGCGTACATTTTCGGCGCTATATAAATACCTGTAATAAATAAATAGTGAAAAAATATTGGAATGCAAGGTGCTAAATACCTTGATAGCTACAGCTCTATGATGGCAATTGGAAATGGTCAGTGAGCTTTATTTGGCTTTAAATAAGTCACTTACTTTATGGAAGAACACACTTAAACCACTTGTATATGTAATGAACTATATTGTCAACACCTAATGCAGTTAACATTCCTTTTTGTTTAAAACGGCAAATTAAATTGAAAAATAAAGTTTTCTACTAATATGTTCTCAGGAGACATTTTAATCACTTCTAGATGAAAAGCAAATATATTTTCTGAAGACTGTTATCAAAATTAGGTCAGTGAGTTTCAACTTGCTTACGATTATATAAGTTTCAATTCAAACATCTTAAAAGCTTGGTCTATCATTGCCCTGAGCAAATTGAAGTAGAATGAAGCTAAGGATGAGAAGAAGCTTTAAGTGGCCTCCTTTTAATCTGCTTTAAAACTCTGAAATATTTGGCAATACAGCAGAATGCTAGTCTCAGCTAGAGAGTTAAGGAAAAGGTAAGAAAGAAATCATTCCTGTCCATATTTATTTCTGTCTAATCAAACACCTCTTTAGGAACTGTAGAAATCCACAACATGCATTTTAATCAGTGCTACTGGATAATGCCGATAACTGTTTGTTTTATGTTATTTATTAGACTTAGTTTCTACAGTATAATACTTTATATTAAAACAGTACTGTGCCTTAAGAATTTTTTTTTGTAATGTAAATATAAAATAGAATTAAGGTGCATCTGTACTATGATGCAATTATTTTATAGAAGCTAAAAAATACTGTTGGTTTTGTTGTGTACAGGGTAGTACATTGGGGTTAAGGTTAGTAGTTTTAATTCAGTAGTTTGCATCAACCACTATTTAGTTTCAGGAAAGTCAACTGTTCTCCTGTTCATCTTTCATCACCCTCTGTCACAACTCGCCCTATTTAACTAGAGTGCAAAGGGCAGCTCCACTTATATAATAGGAGTAGATCTTTTATATGGTTGGAGCATTCAGTAAAATAAATGACAGCTTCTTATGATCGTTACAGCCTAATGTGATATGTATGTGCTGGTCATAAAAGTTGTTTTGTAATAAGAAATTACAGCTAGCTACATATCACCCTAAATGCCATAAAATGTGTGACTAGTTGCTCTGCTTTTTAATGGATATATGTGACTCAAATAATCCGATCCTGTGTCTTGCTAGTTTTGTTTGATCTCTTTATTCTATTGTCATACATTTAGCCTAGAGTTTTGAGCTTTAGTGGTAGAAAATGTGTTTATTAAATGTTTAGTTTCTGGTAAAAAAATTTAAACACTGTTCCACCAAAAAATAAAAACGTTGATTCGTTAAAATGTCATTTTGATAAATGTAAATCAGTCACGATCTGGGACAATTAAAAGTGAGCATATGATGGAGGAATCTATGAGCGGAGAATACCTTATTTTAAAACTGCATCACAAAACAAATACAAGATCCAGTAATAGAGACACCTTAGCTTGAACTGCCCTGACTTCCTGAGCTTTTCTATTGGTTCTCTTTTATGATAGGTAACTTTCCTTGCCAATAGGGAGGCTTCAGATATATGATTAGGTGGGGTAAGTTTCAGCTCTTTATAGGATAAGTTGACGTTTGATTGTAGGTTCAGCTCAATTCAGCTTAGATGAATACTATGAATTATTTTATCTTATAACAATTTTGCCCTAAGATCTTCATTTCACAAGCATTAATTCCACTGTTTTTATCACCGCAAAGAATATTTTCTTGCTCCTTAGGAGTGACGCCTAATTCAAATGTGGTTCTCTACACCCTGTAGCCAATGGTATTTTATTTTTGCAGTGAAATCCATATTGTATTCTTTGTGAATTTTCTTTTACAATCCGAATAGCTCAGAAATTTGCAAAGTAACATACACTTTATTACCAAAAGTATTGGGACGCCTGCCTTTACACGCAAATGAACTCTAATGGCATCCCAGTCTTAGTCCGCAGGGTTCAATATTGAGTTGACCCACCCCTTGCCACTATAACAGTTTCAACTTTTCTAGGAAGGCTGTCCACAAGGTTTAGGAGTGTGTCTATGGGAATGTTTGACCATTCTTCAAGAAGCAGATTTGTGAGGTAAGGTACTGATGTTGGACGAGAAGGCCTGGCTCGCAGTCTCCACTCTAATTCATCCCAAAGGTGTTCTATCGGGTTGAGGTCAGGACTCTGTGCAGGCCAGTCAAGTTCCTCCACCCCAGACTCGCTCATCCATGTCTTTATGGACCTTGCTTTGTGCACTGGTGCGCAGTCATGTTGAAACAGGTAGGGGCCATCCCCAAACTGTTCCCACAAAGATGGGAGCATGGAATTTTCCAAAATGTCTTACTATGCGGATGCCTTAAGAGTTCCATTCACTGGAACTAAGGGGCCAAGTCCAACCCCTGAAAAACAACCCCACACCATAATCCCCCCCTTGGCCATGGAAACCCATTCCATGAAGCTCTGTATGCACTGTTGTTGTGCCAATCTGAAGGCCACACGAAGTTTGGAGGTCTGTAGCTATTGACTCTGCAGACAGTTGGTGACTTCTGCGCACTGTGCTCTTCAGCATGCGCTGACTCCGCTCTGTCATTTTACGTGGCCTAACACTACGTGGCTGAGTTGCTGTTCCCAGTTACTTCCACTTTTTTATAATACCACTAACAGTTGACTGCGGAATATGTAGTAGGAAGGAAATTTCACGGAACACCTGAATCCAATGATTTGGAGGGTGTCCCAGTACTTTTGATAATATAGT